CACAGCCAGAGTATGTGAAACAGCAGCAGCACGTGGCAGAGCTGGGTCCACCTTTTGGTAGGTGGTGCTGAGTTGTTAGGTGGGCTGGGTTTTTCTTGAAACCTCACTGCCAAGCCTGTTGGAGTTGGCTCGCTCCTCCTGTTGAGGGTACCAAGAACAATATGCATTTCGTGCCGTGGGTTTCATTAGGACACGTTGTATTTGTATTTAATGGCGAATTACAACCAGTAACAATTTTCTCTTGAGCCGAAAAGCGCTCTTTTCCCCCATTGTTACCATAGAGGGCAAAATTAATGTTTTGATGACTTTGGCATCACTCAAGAATACTTAAAACGCTTTTTTTTTTTCCAGCTGGTCCTCTGATAGAAACACAGACGCTTACAATTCTGGCCACGGCTTCCTCTTACTGTGGTCTGTATTCTCCAAGGTCAGATTGAATTCTTGCCTCTAATCGTAAAAAAAGAAGAGAAAATGGAGGTGCTGAGGAAGAAATAAAGAGGAAGATGTACGTAAATGTCATCTACAGCTTGTTTGGCTGGTGGTTTTATCTCTCTGGAAACCCTTAGAGCTCCCAGCCTTTCAGCCTTACGTGCTGCTGTTTTGTTCGTTCACTTTGGCGCCGGGGCTGTGTTTAAATAGAAAGCAAAGCAGCCCGGAATCTCTGGACTTCCATGTTTTTCTGAGTGCTGTGTGGTCCTGTGGGCTTATAAAACACCCCTGCTGTAGTGTTCTCCCACCTACCAGGGTAGGTTAATGGATCTAGCAGCAGGGACCCTTCTGAAATCTTTGGAGTTCCCAGCAAGTACCTAACTCCCGTAGCTGGCCTCATGTTGCGTCTTCTCTGCTGTAGTTATCTGCTTCCATAAGTTAATTAGGCTTTCTTTTTTCCTCCTTTGCAAATACTTCTCTAGGAGAGTGTCCGGTTGAAAATATCACTTCCAATCTCGCTTTTTCTCAACCCTAGTCCTAGGTAGGATTGAAAAGAAAGGCAGCGCTGATATGAATCGGCTGTAAAATAGTGGAGGGGGTAAAAATATGGCATGCAAATAATCTTGAATCGTTAATGGAGAAACAATGCGTCCTGTATTTGTTCTTGTTTTCTCCAACAAGTAGGTTCCAAAAATGCTCCAAATGATGTTGTGGAAATGCCATGCTAGAAATGTCCTTCAGTACATCAGGAAATATTTGATGTTAACATTTCCAGGCTAAAAGAGTTGTTCATAATGTAAGACATGAATTGGGGCAGGGAGAGATTTGCCCCATCTCCATTATTTGTGGCACATTTTTAGTTTGGCTTGTATTTGTATAAAAGCAGCAATAACTTCCAGCAGAAGTGGCCAGAGTTCTGTTGTGATGATTTATCTGCAATTCTGTTCATTAAAGGTATGTGAGAACAGTTCTCAAATTTGTTTCTTGCTATATTTAACTTGCTGGAAAAAATATTTTTATGGAAATTCTCGTTAGTTTGTTGACATTCGTTTTTCTTAGTGGTATGCAAAATTCAAGTACTTCTGATGAATTCAAAGCACTCATAAATCAAACAAAGAATGGAAGCAAATGGAAGCATAAATAAGTGTAGTTGTGGTTGCGCTTACAGGCTTAAGGTGAGCTCATTTCAAAATAGGAAGGTGACTAGGAGTCAGCTGGACCCTTTTAGCACAAAATCATTCCTTTGAAATTATTCTCGTGTTTCCTCTCTCCTGAAGCACTAATTGTGGTACTGATGCAAACCAATTCATGGCATATAATCGTGCCAGTTTGTTAGTCCAACTTTGTATCAGTCTCAAGCTGCAGCTTAACTCCAGAAATATTTTTAGTTTGAAATACTAGCTGTTACTGAAAAGCCAGCTGGGTTCAGTTTGTCTTTTCTTTACGCTTTGCTTAAGCTGTTTTGAAAGGAGCATGTAATGATTTCAAAACCGGTGTAGTTTTCACTTTGTAGGGCAGCCACGCTTTCTTCTTGCCCCAATATTTATGCTAATCCAATGATAAAGTAAAACTCTTAATATTTTTTTTTATCAGTCCATATATCCAGCCAAATTTGCTTGACGTTTCCAATGATGTGGCATTTGAAAAGCTTGATAGGCTCGTGTGCGATTTTCAGCTATCTTCTCAGATCAGACAAACACAAGCTTGACAATATTCTCTCACAGAATCACAGAATCACAGAATCGTTTAGGTTGGAAGGGACCTCTGGAGATCATCTCGTCCAACCTCCCTGCTCAAGCAGGGTCACCTAGAGCATATTGCCCAGGATCACATCCAGACGGGTTTTGAATATCTCCAGCGAAGGAGACTCCACCGCCCCTCTGGGCAACCTGTTCCAATGCTCTGTCACCCTCACAGTCAAGAAGTTTTTTCTCAGGTTCAGATGGAACCTCAAAATAACCTAATTAATCATCTGCTCTTTTTTCATCTTAATTATTTAACAACGCTGCGTTATTTCAAAGAATCTAGAAGAAAACTTCTTTGAAGGACAAGTGTGTTGTGCAGGTAGCAATTACAGTTTTGTAGCTGCGATGAAGTTCTGCTTGGTACCTGGAGCAGGCTCGGAGAAGTCCCTAAAAGAGATGCACTGGCTATTCCTGCAGTTACGTTGCTTATTCCTTTGGTTAGTTTTTTTAGCATGCATATGTGAGTTTTCTTCTGTGGTTTAAACTTAACTGAAAATCCAATACCCTGTCAGAAACTTCTGCCATGTTTTTTTGCCTGTATTTGAAATGAACAGTCTGCTTTTTACTGCGATTTCTAACCAAACTTTCTATGTAGCTGAATTAATTAAATCCTAGGAATAGATTATATTAGAGGTAATTAAGCTTTAAGTAAGCAAACCATTAACAATTATGATGCTAAATTGCCTGTGACACAGATTGGTCAAGTTTAATAGCATGAGGTGTTTTCAGCTTGTGAGAAGTAAATTGCAAAAACCAACTTAGTCTTTCTATGTGTTTGAGATAGAGATTCCTCAGTTTCTCTGCAAGGTAAGAGCTCCAACAGATGGACAAAAGAACTTCTGATAAGGCATTTCTGGTATTTCAGCATGTAATATCTCCAACTTTTCCTCCTTCATTGTATTTGTTTCCTATACTTGTGTTATCCAAAAAAAAAAAAAAAAAAAAAAAAGGGAGATCTCAGGTCCTTTTTGGTAACAGTTTAGAGATGTGTTCCCAGTCTCACTATGTAACATCATTTTATTTGAATCACACATAAGCATTTTAGGTTTTTGTGGATCTATCCTGTTTTAAAACTAGCAGATACTTGTTTCTTCTTTACATTTTATTTTACGTGAAGCAGGTTTCACTTTCGGTCACAAAAACTGGTCTTGATGATCCTCTTTGGAGAACATACCTGTTTCTGGTTTCTGGGTGGTTTTAAGTTTCTTTTTCTATGAAAGGATATTTAAATATATGCTGTTGATGCATAACATGGTCTTTTGTGTGGAAATGCATTTTTCTCATAGTCTGCCATCATCGTAGATATTCTCAGACTGTATTTCTATATAGTGGAAATGTTACGGGCTTGTATTTTAGGATATGGCATTCTAAAATCTTTACCTTAAAGAAATGCCCCAGTAATTATGCAAATATAAATCTACCTCCCCTACCTCAGTTACCATCCACCAAGTTTTACAATATGAAGTGAAATCTTGCTTGCTCCCTTTTTCTGATTGGAAAGCTGCAGAGAAGTGCTTTATATGGAACAATTCAGCAAGAAACTGTGCACCTTCTTGTCCTTTGTAGGCAGTAGGCTGGAGAGATGGCAAGCATATGGTCTGCAGGTTTCAAGTGAGCTTTCCAGCAAAACAGTGGTAGTCTATTGTGTGCTCTAAAGGAGCTTTCAACTTAAAAGCATTTCAATATAAGAAAATGATTTTGGCCTCCTTCTGTAGCAGGATACAATGTATATTTAAAGCAAACATGATTATGGAAGGTATTGTTGGACAACCGAAATCCAAGCACTAGCTCATTTTGCATAGACTCACGATTTTTGCAATATGGCAACCGGAAGGAGAGATTTTCAACTAGGTTAATGATACTGTAGCGTGCGGTTTATTGAGAGAAATGCAGGCGATGCCTTCAGCGAATTTAATATACGCGAAAAGCTTTTGCACCCAACGTGCAGATTTCAGTTTAGGTTTGAAATAAGTTGAGATACTTCATGAAAGAGTTAATTTCCTGTTTTGGTACTGAGATTGATAGTCAGAGGAAATAGGAGGTACCTGGAAAGAACTTTTGATTCCTAATATTGCAGAAGTCGCTTTTCTGTTGGCTTGCCTCGCCTCTGCTTTGTTATTTTTAACCAGGCTCCCTAATCTTTCCTTTTGCCTCTAACCACCTCCCAATTTCCTGTTCGCTTCTTCCCTCTGTTTTTTGTCCAAAATATTCGGTTGTTTTTCCCTTTTCTGTGCAGTTTGAGTGGATTGCAGGAAAGTGAGTTAAGATGAATGCCATAGCTGTTTTTACAGTGTCTATTATCTTCTGTATTTCATGCCTTTTTGCTGCTCTTGGTGTAAGTGACTTATTCAAGGAGATTTTGATGTAAGAATGTTACTTGAATAGGAGCATGCATTTTTAATTTTTTAATAGTGTACTTTGGATTGTATACCGTAATTTAAAATGTTCTACTTTAGCTCTTGGAAACTTGTGTGTTCACATTCTCTTTGAACTACTTTTTTTTTTTTTTCTCCAAATTCATTAACGTATTCTTAGGATTTTTTTTTTCTGAAGACCTATTCTTGGAACAGTGCTGGAAGAGAGAGGTGTTGCTTGTTCTAGGCTCTTTTCGGGGGGGGATATATGATTTCAAAAGTAATCTGAAGTTGTAGTTTACGTTCTTTTCTCTCAGACTATATCAGTGCTTTTTCAAAACAGTGTTAAAAATGCTAATTGACTTAAGTAAAGACATATTTCATTATAGTTTTTGGATTCCAGCAACAATGCATTTTAAATCTAAACTTGCTTTACAGTAAGTAATAGAAAGCATTTGCTTTTCTTTTGCAGATTGCATTCTCACAACACAGCAACTTTATGGACCTGGTACAGTTCTTTGTGACATTTTTCAGGTACTTTTCATTTAAGACAGCTAAATGTTTCTTCTTTAGGAAAGATCTTTGTTTTTCAATGTAGTGATTTGTTGTTTCATAAAAAATTAAACATCTTGTTTGCACAACAGCCTAGCACATGGAAATCCCTACTCTGTTTGAAGTATTTTTGTTAGGAATCCTATTAGGGAAGCTGTCTGCACATCTTTGCAGATACGTTTGTCCCGTGCATGCAGAGAAAGGGAGGTTAGAGGAAGGGGACGGCGGTGGGGAGGCTTTCTGAAATTGAGAAGTTATTTGAAAGATGGTATAGAAGCAGTCTGTTGAGTTACCATGTCATCCAAATGAATTATGACTAGAGGAATTGCAGGCGTTCACCCATTGTCAGGTATAAATCATAAATTAAGGAAGCTGGTTTTGCAACAAGTTAAGCGTGGACTAATTTAAGACTCTATAGGTAGCACCTGTGATTTAAACTGAACTGCTGAAAATACGTGAAGTTAAATACAAGTGTGCGTTTCAACACAGTTGAAACCAAATACCTTTCTCCCATTCATGAACTGCTTGGTAAAGGTCATTTCTCAGCGTGAAGCCAATTGCTGATTCTGTAGGAGCGGAACCAACAGAGGCAATTTTAATATTAAGGTTGTTTCCTCTTCCCTTCTCCAAAAAAGTATATCCCTGACAAAGAGCTGAAAAGTCTCCCAAAGCACAGTAGGCAATCTCTTTAAGGTTTCATAATCTGATGTGTCGGTCTCTCTTTTAGGAACTGTTAATACTCTACAAATAAAAAACAATATTTGATCCATAAGGAGAACTCCTACAGGATGGTTATACATGTATGTTTACTCCAGATCTTACAGTCTATTTTAAAGCAGGCAATATTATGCCCATTTTAAAATGGGCAAAAGGAATAATATCTTGCTTGAAGTTCCGTGCTAAATATAATTAAATGAAGGAGCTGCAGATGGATCTTTCAGACAATTGCTTTATAACAAAATTGTTTTAGGATGTAGTTTTTGCAGCATGGAGCATGCTTTAATACAGTTCCAGGTGAGCACCAGGCTCGACCCAGCACCTTGCTTGCATTGATAGGGAATAAATGTTTACTCCAGGATCAGCCTTAAGAGTTAGTACTGTTGTATCAAGTGCGGTCAAGGTCTTATCCCAAATATCTTTCTTGCAGGGTAATTAATTGTAACTGTAGTAGGGAAGTCATTGGTTCTTTGGCTGCTTTGTAATAGCTGTTTTTGCTGAGCTGAGCTCCATATGACACCTAATTAATCAGTACTTTCCAGGCTACCATTTGTTCTGTACAGGCGCAGATTATCTGCGTATGAGAGTTTGAAACTCTTCAATACCAGCAATTCCTCCCATTCTGTTATTAGAATAGAACCAGTGTTTAATGCATTTAATGCACATATCTTCTGCTTTAGTGAGCATATGCAGTTGAAAATACACGTCAAAAAGTTATATAAATTGAAGACAGTCAACAGATTCCGTCCCTGTCTCTGTGTTATCGCATAAATCTCAAGGAAAAGTAACATTGCAACGTTACTAAACTAATGTCTTCTTGACAGGCCAGAGCAGTAAGAACATACCTCTTTGTGAAAGAAGGCAGTTTATCGGTGTTTTTCCATCCAGCATTTATAATGCATGAAAAATTCTTTGTTTCTAGAACTATAACTACTGCTAAGTTCTGCTCACGATGTTTTATTTTACAGGTGCTGAGAGATGCTAAATAGCCAGTATCTTAGAGCAGCATGGTTCATCTCCCCTGTTTGTACGGATAACTGTTGCAACGCTTGTATTTTTAATGCTCTAGGGTACATTTCGTAATTGCGGTTGCATCCAAGGTTTGAGTAGGAATAACTAATATCTGATAGCCTCCTGTGACATTAATGAGATAAGATTTGGCTGAAAATTTGCCCAGTGAGCAGAGGCAGTGGAAAGGCTTTCTGCAAAGCCTAAAGACAGTTGGAAAGACCACATTTGAAATATAGGCCACCTCTAACTTGAAAACTGAGATGCGTATCACTTCTTTGAGTGCAACGGGCACAAAAATAGACTTACTTTTGTTCTGGAAAATGACTGTTTAGTATGACTTGGCATTCTGCAAGCGTCGTTTTTCATAGCTCCTTTTTGTGCTGCCAACAGGTAACGTTTTTCCATCTATGGGGAAACCATGTAGGAAAATAGGAGCTATAGGGCTTTTTTCTCATTTTCTGTGCTGATGTTTGTGGTGATTTAGGTAAAATAAGTCCTTCCAAAGGGCACTGGAGAGGAGCTGGAAAACTCTGGGAACTCCTTCTGGAGTCAGGGGGGTTGTTTAAGTGAGGTGTGTGGCTGTGCGTTACCATTATTTTATTTTGCCACATGTTAACTTGTTTTTTTTTTTAAAGCCAAGAAAGTGTCAGTGGATAAAGGTTGAGTAAAAATGAAAAAATTACGGGATCATTAATACCGCTTTATAATTGGAGCGACAGGAGGAATGATATTGTAACCATTGTTAGCCTTTGTAAAGCTACATGAATTGCAAGCAACCTGTGTTTTTTCCGTTTCCTCCACTCTGTTTTTCATAACGTGGCTCTTTATTTTACAGATCTTGCTGTTTTCTTTCAGCAGATAAAGTTTGAGCTATTTTGACAGTCTCTAGTAAACATTGCTATTAGTGTCTGTGCTTTCCTGTCTTCCAAAAATCTATTTGTGCCATCACATGTGTCTATAATGTGTATTTCTCACCAGCGTACCAAGTGTTTCACATAGAGAAAATACTGTGAAAAATATTTGTGGCTTCTAAACCCATATTACTGACCATTAATCCTTTTTCTTCCTTTTTTTTTAAAAAACGTGCATCTATGTTTCTTCTGTGCTTCCCTGCTTTGTTGGCCCGTTCTATAGAGATTTGTGATTGATAGAAATATTAAGGTTGGTTTGAATGAAGTAGGGATGGAGAAGCATGTGTGAGCTCCAGAAGAAACAGCAGAACAAGAATTGGAAAAGCGGCTTGTGTTTTAACTGGTGACACAGACGACTGCAAAGTAGTTGGGAAACGAGCTGGTCCCATCAGGCCCAGAGGGTGCTCCGGTAGCACAACCAGCTTGTCAGCAGGAGAGAAAACCAGGAGGACGGCAACAAAATTAGAGCACGTTAAAGGTGCCAATCCTTTTCCTGTTAGGGTAGCAGCGCCAAGAAACTCCAAACAAGGAAACGGAGGCATTCATCAGCCAACTTGCCTAAAAGATAGAAGGGTGAGGTGAGCAAAACTGTAAGGCCAAAGGGTCCTGCCAGAGAAGCTGCTGGGCCCTACAGGGTATACAAGACCTATAAATCAGATTTGCTGTCTCCAGTGGAGAGAAAGTCAGAACATGTGGCGAGGACCTGACAGCCATCGTCCCTTGTCCTCCGTGTGGGACACAAGTGACGTTGGGCAATCCACTTGGACGCATACATCTTGGTGCTTGTGGCCACAAGAGCGTGAGCAGGGATAATCAAAGCACTCTGAGGTTTGGTGAAATATAATAATCTTCCCCTGCCATAAGACCTCACATTGAGTTTTGTTGCATTAATTTCCTATAGATCTTGCATGTTTTCTGTTGCATTGCTGCTGCGTTTCTTCACACGTACAGCACACCTCATTTCTTGACTGCTGCATCTCTTCTTTCATATCTATCCTTGAAACCTCCTTCTAGGGGTGTTCAACACTGTCTCTGTTCTCATCATAGTCATGCAGTGATTGCTAGAGAAATGGGTCTTTTTCACAAATGGAAAAAAACCTGCAAAGGAGGATTTTTGTCTTTTCATGGTGGCACAGTATTAAATGAATGTTTATGGCCTGTACTGAGATCTGAATACAAAATTGTGTATTTTGATATGAATAATTGGGCTTATTCCTCAGGAAAACTTTAGAGGGAGCTGCATTTGTCATTGCACAAGTCAAGCAGATGGTTTAACATGCTGTATGTTGGTTTTTCTAGCCATAAACATTTGCGCAGTGTTTTCAGTAAGTGGGAATGACCTGTTTCAATAATTCAGATCTGATCACAGTGTAGATATTCACTGTTATTTAATAATTTCTCTCTTGAGCAAAAATGCTATTAATAAATAGTGCCTTTAAAATCCACTCTGAATTGCTTTTTTTTTTTCTTTTTTTTTTTCCTTTTTTTGAGAAAAAGGAAGAGCTTGGAAAGATCTGAGCATTATTTCTAACAACATGAAGAAAATTCATAGTTCAGCTTCCGTGACTTTCTTTTTCATGTTCTCTCCTGCCTCTGTAGTTAGTCCTCCGTAATGATCACACTGATCAGAGCAGGGGGCCATCTGATCTCTCCTTCATTAATTAGTTTCATCATTATTGGTGCCTGTTAACACTTTTGGCCTCCACGTTCTCCTGTGGCAATATAGCGATTCTGGGTGTGATATAAGCACTTTGGGTTTTAAACCTGCTGATTAAGTGGGATTTAGTTTACAGTTTTGACATCTTAATTGAGGTTTCTATTTGCACGTTGTCTAAGCTGTTATTTGAGCAAGTAGAGTTGATGGGCTCTAGAGAGCAGCTCAGTTAGTAGACGTAGGTGTCCACTTTTGGGTGAGCCACATAGCTCTCCAGGCTCCACTAACTGTATTTCCCTAGGATATTTCCCATGAGATGAGTGGAGAAGACCAATCTAGTCCAGAGGTTTGTGGAGAGGAGGAGAACTGAGAACGGGAGGAGTCTGCTTGGCCACCTCGGTGCTTTGTCCCCAGTTCCATAGTTCGGCTATGGGAAGTCTAGTCGCTATAACCTGGGCACAGGTCCTTGCCTTCATGCTAGCTTGTTCTCACGTAGTAGGAGAGAAAAACCTTCAAAACAGGAGTCAGGGAAACATTGTTTTCCATTCCAGTTTTATCTTATGTCCTATGATTTTTGATGTGCTTTCTTGAAGCTCCAGCTTCCAGACTTGCGAGATGACAGCATGTCTTTTTCTTCTGTTCTGTGTATGCCCTTTCTGATAGCACAGAAGGCCTTGCAAATATAAACC